ACATCGCCTCTCCTTAAGACGGGAAATTTACTGTTGTGGTACAATTCCACCTCGCCCCATCAACTATTCCTATATCTTTTCGAACAAACAAGCCTTGCGAAATCATCAAAAGGACACGATTTCACACTCGCTTTTCATAACGAAAACAATACGCCGTGATCGCCTGCGTTTGACATGCGGGTATCTGTGATGGCCCACTGTATCCACTAGTTCTCCTCATATCCTTGATGCATACAGTAAGTATTCGACGTCGTGATGTAGGCATAAATATACTGAGTGTCGCAAGTCAGCAGCTGTTTATTCAGAAAGTTCTTTTTTACTGTTAGTTAACATATATACATATATGTCCTACAGTGTGACTTATCTATGTTGGGTGGCCTTAATGGAAAAGTCAAACATACTCGATGATGAGAGTACATTATAAAGAAAGGGACCGTGACAGTCTATTCAACAGGCAGTAGCTGTGGTGAGCGTTATCTTAAGTTTGGTAGGTAAATACCAGTGGTGCGGGACAGGCTGTGAAACAAATGGACAAGCATCTATGGGGTTGCGTTTTCTGATCCAATTCACACAATTCTGCTTCATATCTGAAAGCATCATCCGGATATTGGCACAAGTAGATCGGTGACAAAACCAAACAAAGGCCGAATGCTGACGAAACGATCTGCACTTTCTGAATAACTTAAGGGAACTTACAGAAATAATCGAAGTAACCCAAGGTGCTAGGTGAACTCTGTACCTCAAAAATCATGGAAAGGCAATCGAAGTACCCAAGGTGCTAGGTGAACTCTGTACCTCAAAAATCATGGAAAGGCGAAACAACTCAGCACTGGATGGATCTCACAGCTCCTTGTTAGACAGGATCTCAAAACAGAGAATTAGTTCCGTGTCTGTTCCTGTTATTTACATCTCTGTGCTTTTAGTTTTGAATAACTTAGCCACGCATGATGTCCGAGAACAAATTTAACATTATATGATATCCGTTTAGGTTGCCAGCATACCAGTTTGAAATAAACAGACATTATTACATTGCTTCCCATCTAATTCGTCCTTAACAGGATAGTCCAAATAGGTTTAATTTGGATGATTGTCGTTTAGTGAGGGAACGCATAGCCTCACACTTGCGATAACCACGCATTGTCATGCATTCACATTATGAGAGCTCATTAAAAGTGACATAAAATAGAGCAAGAAATGTGATACGCATCCTTTTCAAGTGATCTGGGGCACAAGCTTGATGAATGTCAGACCAAAACACCCACTTCAGTTTGGGTTGATGATTGAACAAAATTCTGGACTGGCTGAATAAATCTGAAATTGCCAGCAGGGAATTTATCGGTTTCACGAAAAGAGCTGCTCGTTGGTTGAACGAGGGGGCTTAATTATTTTCGGTAGGCTGACTTGGGTTGATTTCAAAACTTCAGTTACTCCTTAGAACTCAACTCGTATCAACACAAACCCATGAGTAATTTTTCGTAGACAAAAAGTGAATTCGTTTGGTTGTCCGTGGGCAGCTGCCATTTACAGTGTAACATCTATCTGAGTCCGCACTTCAGGTGCCTACCATATTTTACCCAAGCACAAGTGGAATACAAGCGTAAAGCTGCACCTTCTGAAGTCACTTTGTGAGAACAGCCAGTGGACACAGATAACGAGACGTTAAAATTTCACCTACATCAATCCGACTCAAGCGCAAAGCATTCCAGGTTTGTAAGTTGACAAACATGGGAATGGGCGTATAAGCTTGAGGCACAAATTCATAAAACAGGATGGGATGGTTAGCGTCAGGTAGTCCGATTCGATATTATTTCTGCACATCATTTCAGCTCCTATGCTTCGAGCAGCATCTTTCGTAGTGCGTCAGATGTCTCGGTTTGATTACGTAAAACTATAATGAAGCACCCGTCGCATTGGCGTTTCCCAGCAACACGCGGTAATGCTAATGATCTCACATTTTGTCTCATTGAAATTTTGTCTCGCATGGTACTGACAGCCCTTTTAACACGTTTTTGACAATCAACAGCACATGGGTTTTCCTACCGATGTCACGATCACTCTGACAGCGGCCGGAAACGACCTGGTAGATGATATGAGGGTTGGAACAGTCGGACAGTTTCTGAGACCAAGGCTAGAGTATAATTTTGGATACATATGGATTGAAGCACACATCAGCTTGCTGGACAGACTTTGGGTCAGTCATAATCATTTTCGCAGCTTCGAAACTAACGTACTACCAGGCCAGTTCGTTCTCAGAATGTTGTCGAGTTGTGACTCTGAGGCGTTCGATTCTCGTGTGTTAGCGTACACTGTTTAGCAGAAAGTGAATTCTGTTCCCAGACACTTCGAAACACGCGCGAATTATGTCAAGTAATGGTGAAAATTCTGGTTAATTCTTCTTCTCAGATCAGTTCTCAGTATAAGTTTCTGTGATGCCAAACATCCTCATAAAGCGGTATATAGTAGCCAACAAAACAATCTACCCCAAAACAGCTCTTGTTTATTAAAGATGAACTCTTTGGTATGTTGTACACCGGGTATCTTTCAAAGCTTCTAATTCACTTTCCATCCCTTTGTCCCGCCCATACGAATCCTGATAACCGTAGTCACATGTATCTGACAACCTGCTGCTGAGCTTTCAACGACTTTAACCATTTTCCATGCCATTCTCATAACGGATTGCATCCACGGAAAACACAGCAGGATAAAATGTCTATCCTTTTTTGATTACGAAGCGCAACTCATTCTCCTTTGGGACTAGATTACGCTAACTGCTCATTCACGTTTGCGATCACTTTGGGTACACCGACTGCTAATAAGAGCAAGTGCGCTGTTGCTATTTGGGCATATATCACAGTGGCCTCGTTCCCAGCACGTTATCAATAGCGACCACTCTTCCATTCGCCTAAAAATCACTGCATTTTTAAGCAATAAGAGAACCTGATAACGAGTGCTGCCACAAAACCACGATGGGAAGATGCACCACAGAATGGCTGACGTCATCTGGAATTTTACTGCGCCCTCTGTGCAGAAAATACGCATATGGACATTTTCTTTGGCAAGACGGTCAAAGGCCACCATTCGTTTGTATCCGGAAATTTACCATAGTGTCTTCAAGCTTACTGGTCACCCACATAATTCGCAACATTGTCCTGGAGAGCATAAACTAAGTGGAGGGCGGGACATTGTTCAGTTTACCAGTTGTTTTAACTTAGCCTGTAAGCACGTTTGACGGCGGAGAACTTCATTTGACTATGTGAATTAAGGTAGCGTTTTGGTACTTGGAGTGTTTGTTACTGACCGCAGCTACCCAAAGGCCCAAAACTGGTCGGCTGTGACAATGTTAGTCAGGTCTTATGACAACTGCTTGTAGAGGTTTCCACGCTAGATGTTTGCGTGGAAGGAGGACCAAGAAGGCCACAAATTCAATCTGGAAAACGCGAAAATTTTGGCACACGGAGACGTGCGATACGGAAGAGAATTTCTGCAAACATGGTACTCTACGGTAGGTTCAATTAACCGGTGCATCGAACTGGATCCAATTTACGCACCTCTACGTGCAAAAAGACCAACATCGCAACCGGAACACTCAAGGAGGACTGAATAGTGGATTCACAAATGAAGAAACAAGGAACTCCTCGGAGGCAAACCAATAAAGGTCACAGGCAGGAACTCGGAAGGACAAAGGTCACCCTAACATCAACCAGACTACGACGGCGAGGAATGCCAAGTTCAAAGTTCACGTGGGCATCGGCGAATGGGGACACGGGATAAAAGGACAACCAATGGAATCGCCCGACCGAGTAACTAATCGCGGTCGAAGGTCATCCAGTCTACCAGCACATATATCAACATACACGTAACACTACTGAACGCACAACCACTAACCCACCGCTATGCACAACTACGCACTGATGATGTCACCTCGATTGGTGATGAAACGTTTGCAACCAAATTGCCCAGCTCAGCGAACAAGCCAACGACATATGAGTTTATTCATACGTAGCAAACTTACTCAACCATCATTTACTAACCCTTCTGTCATACTGTATTCTCACAGTTGGTTCACATCTGTCAATGTACACTTAATTCAGTGCACCTGGCTCCCCCACCTATTCCGTTTTGAACGGGAAGTGTTGCTTCAAGAGGATGGGCTTATTTTGTCATATGAGGTCAGCCATCGAATCCCGTGTAACATTTACCGAATGGCTGAGCAACAGAGCAGCAATAACCCTCAAAAACAAAATCTAATACGATGACCAACGTTGACAGATTTTTTTGAGGGGAGGGGCTTGACTTGCAGAAATACTTAAGTCCACCGACCTCACCCAGTTTATCGAAGACTGGCACATCCTGTGGTGTTTCAATATGTGGTTTAGGTTCCCATACTCTGTTTACCATCCGGCGTGCTTATTAATGATCTTTCTTCCTCGTAAGCCCAATTTGTCTCACATATCAAGACCGTATCTCAGATCACATTAAGCCTACTCACCACATGACAAGACTGATCACTAATGAGGGTTGAAAAACTGTGTGGCAATTCCCAACATACGCAAGAAGTATTTTCTAGCTGCAGGCAGCAAAATTACCTCTATACCGTTCCAACATTGTGAGGATTCGTCCGAATGATTCATCAAGATCATGCGAATTCCCACGATTTCCTTGTTGATTTATCGTGCGCGTTGAAAAAAAGGCCAACCGGTCCAAGGGAATTTCTACCTTTCTACGAAAACATCATGATGTATTGGAGTCTGGCACATTAATTTACATAAGATTACTGTTATTTTAGACTCCACCTGTTTTGCGCAAAGGTTTATTACCAAAAAAGTCCAAAACCATTTGTCGGTTAGTTTCCTTCCTTGATGATATACTTCTCAGATGATACGCACCTGGTACATTGGCGGAGGGGGGAGGAAAGTTTGCCTGGAGACATCTAGCGTGGTTCAAATTAGCAGATTCTCTAAAACACTTGTTTTTTCTTTTTCACTCTTCTTCTGCACTAGCATACAGACAAAAGCTACTCTAAAATTTGGACTGAGCAGTGTGCGTTTCCACCAACGAAGACCCTCAACAAGAGGACAGTTGATAAGTTCCATCAAGTAAGTAGATTACTGCAGGTCAAAAGTTTTTAAACAATGAACAGTAATTTTTCATAAAAGAAACTACTCATAAGGTTGCTGAATAATCTCCGATAGCTCATAACCGATTTTGCCCTTCTTAGGGCTCTTCTGGTAGGTACGGTCCCCGTGTCCTCAGTATAGTATCTTCCAGTAGTTTAGTCATAGACCTAACGAATGCAGTAGCATTTAGTCAACAGTTTACCTGATGATGAACTCTGCGTGACCTGGGGACGAGTGTTACATACTTCACTAGTAACTTTATGAAGCTGAATCACCAAATATATATGAAAGCGGTGTGAGTCGAATAAAGCGCCAAGACATTCAGCTGGATTTCAGGTGGGTCTTCCAGAAAACCAAATTTGCTTGCAAATGAGTGCGTTTCGCTAATTTCGTGCAATTTGGTTTCAAGTACAACATAAGGTCGACGGATTCTCGGGGACTGCGCCTACCTGATGAGCCCCAAGAAAGGCGAAACCTGTCGTAGGCTGTCGAATAATTTTCAGTACCCTGATGAGTAATGTCTCATGCCTAAATATCTAGGTTCTGCCTGAACCGAGCGCCCCAGAGTGAACAGTGCATGATTAGCAGTAGAAATGCGCATAGTAACACCGCCAGTTAGTAAAACCCTGAACAGAACTCCATAGTGCCCTCATCTACACATCATAGTAGGAGGTTTCGTTATCAGAGAACTTTAATCAACTCTGACATGACGAAGCAGCACGGGCTACGTCACTGCCACACCACAGTTGTAGAAAAGGCGTTGTCATTGCTGCATGTTCCATAATGTGTTCCATAATGAGAATAAATCTGTCACTTCTCGAAATCCTGCAGAATGTGTTGGTGTGGGCGAATAAACTAGGAACCATTTCTCTATTACAGGAAGATAGCATTTCTCTGCAAAAGCGCTTTGTTATGTTCTCAAGTATTGTGAAATTAATTTTCAAAGTTGTCGGCACCAGTGTCCCACCCTCTGTCTGTCAGAAAAAGACCGTTTTGTGATTCTGTGCGGATCCTTCTTTGGCACACATTTTCGCCCAGATTCATTGATACACAGAGGGCGGTGTATTGTACACAGTTCTTATGCATTTGCACCCCTCGAAAATGAAGGGCCTCAACGTTATCGTCGCATGGATGTATCGGTACTTGGATGAAATCACCATTCAACAGAAATCCTGAGTATTACTTTGCGTTTTAGTTAGCTAGCACATGCATCAGTGTGGTTCAACTATCTCATGCTGAGCGTGACTCTTTAAGCCGTTTGACTGACGGCATGAGAGTCAAGCCTTTTGCCTGAATCAAAGAAAGTTAAGTACACATTTCGTGTAGGGATTTCTTATCTAATGGACTGTTTATGCATGTGATAGTCGAAGTATGAAAATATCATTCAGTGGATTAATGATGGGCTTTGCGTTAGTGGAATCTAAGGGCAAGTAACAAACAGTTTTCCAAACGTGGAAGAACACATGGTCCCTTCTATGGTGAAATCGGACGAAGAGCTGACGCACAACGGTCGGCTTCAAGAGACGCCGATTATTCACTTTTTTCCACACTTGTTTTTTAAAGCTAGAAATAGACTTGCTCTGTTTTGAGAAAATGTTGACATGAGTAAACATTGCGCAGGATAACTGACTACTTAGCTACTTGTGCAACAGACAGCATCGAAGTACTTGCGACGTGTCATTGGGGCTCGTAAGTTGTCCTCACTCAACCAGATTCAAAGAGCTAAATGGACACCCTTTCGTCACCAAAACAAAGGTTGTCGGTGCCTAATTTTTCTTCCTCAATACATCAATTTTTATGACCTTTTGTCCCTTTATGTAACTTGAGTCGGTTTGTTACAGATTCTCGCGACCTCAGTGATCTGCATCAATCCACTTCAGTCCTGTGAATTGATGATTAAGTAAGTTGGGCTACTAGCAATGTATTTAAGTCAGTGTAAGTCGAGCTGGTCGCTCAGTAACGGGAAACTTTCGCATTTCAAAATACGAAGTGTTTTATAGCCGGCAGATGGATTTGACGGATCGCTTGCAAAAAACGGGTGCCGAATCTATGACAGTCGTGATCACGGGCCTTGGGAATGACCAAAACCAAACGACGCTCAAAAACAATAAGAAGCAACACATTTTTAAGCGAAGAATTTACGTAGGAGGTTATAAAGATGGCGGATGTTGTGGAAAGTTTTCTGGATATTATCTTATTTTGGTAAATTGGCCTGTGGATAGAAATATTTTTCCATAAACGCCCACGATTCCCTACTCACGTTCGATCGACGCAGCTACACCTGCCTCAGTTCGAACAGTCTAGTCAGGACAAGTAAGCACGCACGAAAAACAAACGCACACATGCTACAAAAACGGTCACGTATCAGTTTACACAACCATGACAAGCAGGTGGCGCAGTCTCGACATATATGATCTCAGTATGATATAACCTGTTTATCGGCCAATCTTTGGCATGGTGTGCGTGTTAGTGCGGTGTCCACTTAGTGGGACGAATAATCGTGAATTCAACCCAGATTCCAATGGGGGTTTTTGGTCAGCATTTCCACGAATTCAAAGTAGCTTTCGTTGGGTTTTCTACTGCGTTTTGTTCACGTTCTGGTTGGCTAACCAGCGTAAGTTATTTCTTAAATTATTGGTGGCTGAAAATATCTTTTATTCACATTTGCAAAAGCGAAAATTCCTTTGTCCAGAATGTGGACTTTGGAAGACTCACTTCCGTTACACACGGATGGCTCATTTGTTTTATCCGTAAAACAGCATCTTTACATAAAAATTGTATTCTAAATTTTTTCCAACACAATTAGGATGAAAACCTTTGTGTTCACATAGAACCCCCTTTTAGGGGAAGAAAAGAGGTTGCGTCTTGGGGACGCCTCTTTTAATGCGGCAGGTTGTAAATTACTTGATAGCAATTAAGTACGAAAAGCTGACCTGCAGCGTGCATGGTTGCAGTGTGGTGATTGTCACATCGGCAAAAAAGGTTCTGACGTCTTCCATCTGCTGCAAAGCATTATCCATTCTAGGATTCATGGCCGAATTTCATCAATTTTATGTTGATTTTCACACCAGATGACGGATAGTTCAAAAATGATTTGTCCGCTATCCACTTACCCTTGAACTCTGATACCTCAGCAAAACTGAATTTTGGTTCTACCTGAAGAATGTTTTCTACTAGGGCAAAGAGGAAGCAAAGAGGAAAGCAAAAACATACTTTTTGATGCGGTTTATTTCATAGAAGTCTCCATGCAGAAGCTCGAGATTTTAAGATGCGTTTGTAACAGATATTTGATTTTATTGTTGTTCTTTCTAATTTCATTTGTCAGTACATCACTCCAGAGAAAAACCTTCGAGTGAGGTTACTCATCGGGAGATTCCAATACAAGCAATCTCCGCCAAATCTTTAAGGGGCATCCTGCCTCTGAAGAGGTCGGTTTCATCCCTGCAGCTAGTCCACTGTTTTATCCCCCGAGGGATAATCTGACTCCCGGTAAAGACTATGGATCCGATCGGCTTAGATAAAGTGAACTGGTCGACAATCGTGAACATGAAGCACAAGTGTACATGTGGCCTCGAAACCTCGAAAAAGTTTTAACCCCCTATAGCGAGGCTGAACAGTGGTCTCACATTCGAAACTAGCAGGGCAGGTTCTATGCGCCTGACAGGTTACTCTAGCTCACCCTTCAACGATAAGCCTTACCCTTTATCAACCGAGACTTTTCATTTCCTCGTATGTATTACGTATTATGTAGGAATAGCTTGTGCTAATAAGCAGGGCAGGTTGCGCCTGACAGGTTACTCTAGCTCACGCTTCAACGATAAGCCTTACCCTTTATCAACCGAGACTTTTCATTTCCTCGTATGTATTACGTATTATGTAGGAATAGCTTGTGCTAATAAGTTTGTGTTACATGCACTAGTTTTAATGAAGGATGGGCCGAGAGTCCATGAGGCCGTAAGCTACCTTTCATGTCCACGTGAATTTTGGAAAGTTAGCAAGGAGTTTCCCAAGGAGGTAAGAAGAGCTTCTTTTTCAAATATAGGCGGTGGAAAGGGGAGCTTTTGGACAGACCAAACATGCAGCGGATGCAGATAACGATTTGGAAGTGGCTTGGAATATGGTAGTGCAAGATTTTTGAGTGCAGGTTGCAAGCTCAGTCTTGATGTGAAGAATTTGGAATTCTTAGGGGAGTTTGATTTGTATGCTTTTTGAAACGTAGTGCTCGCATACAAGCTCGCATTTACTCGGACACAAATGACCTAGTTCTTAGAGTAAGCAAGGAGTTCCCATTCGGAAAACAACCCCAACTTCTGGTCACTGACTCAACCAAAAATGCAGGACTGTTTATCGTAACAATTTTGTTTAGGATGTCGTCAGTTTTCCTCGACTTTTAACAACCTGATCCACTGCTATTGGAGCAAAAGCTTCATCTATGAATAAAGTCTGCCCTCAAGAGCAGCCAAAATTTCCGTCGTGCCTGTTTTCTGGAGTATTTCAATCTCTACAAAGTTACCGTTTTCCTGTATAGGACTCTTCAGAAACACATTTAGAAAGGTTTGATATGGACTGTTTTCACATCAGTGGCTATATATCAGCATTGGCTTTTCTCCCGTTGCAGAGAATTTCGACAGGTATGTTTAGCTGAGAAAGACGAACGCCGAACACTGGACAGAAGAGATCATGTTGAACTTGCCGGTAATGCCACAAATGAGTGTTAGCCATGTTTGTGACAGCAGCTGAGAAGAGTACGTGTGTTGCAGTTTTAATTAACAGGAAATAACACGTACATCGCCGTTAGAAGAAGCTGGCAATCCACATGGAATATTGCTAGACTATGTGGAATTGTGTCACGCGTCCTAGAGAGGGCGGTGAAAGTGATGCGTACTCTGACAAGACCACTAATTACTGTGCCACGTGTCACTAGTTGTTTCCGTGCTCGGTTAAGACACTAAACTTACTGCCATTTATGTCAATGGTTT